CAGAACCAGCAGTTATTAATTCACCAAGCTTTTCTGATGCATATTTCAGAACCAGCAGTTATTAATTCACCAAGCTTTTCTGATGCATATTTCAGAACCAGCAGTTATTAATTCACCAAACTTTTCTCCGCGGACCCCACACACTCCCCTGGAGAGGCGGGGCTCCCAAGAAAGGAACTGCCGGGTGAAGGCTGGACCGGAAGTGGGTGGGTGGGGAATGAGGTTCTCTGCACGTGCATAGAGGCCAGGAGTTGCAGCAGGATGAAAGGATGGAGGGGGAGAAGGACTCTGGGAGGAGCCCTAGCCTGGGAAACCTGGATGCCCCCCAGGCAAGTCGTTGCAAGCTGGTGATTCTCCGTTTACTCCTGTGAAAAGAGCGAGCTAGAACCTGGCTTTAGCTCTCAGTTTGCGCCGGCGCTGACAAGCTGTGAGTTTAGAAACGTGAGGAGATATTAACAGCAATGCGATATCCCTAGGGACTCAGCGCAAGCTTGGGGAGAGGCCGGAGCCAGTCTGCCGCGCAAGCCAAGGGAGAGGCCCAGAGCCAGGCCGGGCGCAGGGCCAGCGCTGCTCAAACTTTTACACAGATGCATCCTTCTCAAAAGAACCCCCATGGGGTTCTGAAACAGGGAGGCCCCCTTCCTATACGAAGGACATTTCTCTGAAGTCTGGAATTTCACCATTTTTTGAACTACGAAGTTTGCATTCTACTCCATCATTTAACCTAGTTTCTTTGAACATAAAAATACTGTACCAAATTTTTGAGCAAAATGATGCTCCAGGAATTTACACAGTGCCTATCCTGGGACTTTTTTAACACCATCCACAGCGTCAATTACCCGGTGTGAAAAGGCTTGTAAGTTAACAGGGGTTTTGGCTTCTGTTTGTTTTTTGTGGTATGTGGGCAGGATGGGGCAGGCCTGGAGGTCCTGCTTTGGATTCGTGAGTTGGAGGTCAAAGTTTCTAGAAAAAGCTGAAATTAACAAGGTCACTGCTTTCCACAGCACCCTCAATTAGAATATTGCAAAACTGAGCACAGGATATGAATCTCAGTCCATAAACTAAGATATGCAAGAATTGTCACGTATCCATTATTTTATGTAATGACCTATCTGTAGACCCCTAGTAGCTAGTTCCCTGGCAGAGCCGGGAAGCTGGGCTTCCTCCTTCCTGGAGTCCCTAACCACGGGGATTTACATGGTCCTAGGGTGTGGGATGAAGAGGGAAGCACGCATCCACTTGGTCCTCCATCCCCAGAAAATGTGGCTGAGTTGTGTCCACTATCTGGGTTTATATGGCTGCTTCAGCCAGTTAGCTCTCTACCACTGCTATGTCCCACAAGGTGATGAAATTTGGAAGTTTTTAGGTTTGTGAGTGAAGGAAGATGTGAGCAAAGAAAGAATTCTTGAGATGTTTTTGGTGCAAAAAGGTGATTGTATTATAGCACAGAGACAGAACCCATGGGTAGAAAGAGCTGTACTGGGATTGCGAGGAGATTATATGCTTTTTCATTAGTGGGGTTTAGGGATAGTATGTCTCCAAGGAATTTGGAAACAAGGCTTTCAGGACCTTGAGGGGCTAGCTGCCATTGAGATAAGGTTACTTTTAGTCTTTAGTAAAACATAAACATTGGGCGCCTGGGTGGCTCAGTTGGTTGGGCGACTGCCTTTGGCTCAGGTCATGATCCTGGAGTCCCGGGATCGAGTCCCACATCGGGCTCCTGCTCGGCGGGGAGTCTGCTTCTCCCTCTGACCCTCTTCCCTCTCATTCTCTCTCTCTCAAATAAACAAATAAAATCTTTAAATCCAAAAATAATAAATAAATAAATAAATAAATAAATAAATAAAACATAAACATTAAGGCACTAAAGGCAGCCGTGAGATCCTTGAGGAAGGTCAGGCTCTGCACGTCTCAGGTACCCGTCAGTGGGCTATCAGCTGTAAGGAGATTTAATTTAAGCTATGTTTCTCTTGCCTTTGTTTCCCTCATCAAAGGGACACAGGAAATTTGGGTAGGGGTGAGGGTGGCTATCGTCCCATATTGCAGATGATGATATAGAGGGTCTGAGGCGCACAGACCATGAGCCTGCTCGCTACGAAGGTGCACACACGACTTGTGTCTTCCCACAACATCAGCTTTATTCAACCACAAAGCAAAGTTAAATCACAATGAGAAAGCGGGTTCAGGATTCCAAACTCAGTGACAATTCACCATGTGATTAAACTTGGCTTCTTACACAGCACACAAAGCAGGACAGAAGACAAACTGCCCAACAAACGAGGTAGCAGATGGGTGCAGGAAGTGAATGAACCAAACCCAAAGTCAGTCTGTGGGCACACAGTTGAGATAAGGCCTCTGTCTGGCCCAGGTCAGCTCTTGGCACTTACTGCTTCTGATGTTCAAGCAGGGAAGGATCTCGGTTCTGTTCGGAGATCCACTGGGCAGAACCTTCGGGGACAGTTGCCTTTTTTAAGTGGTCAGGTCTGAAGAATCTGACAGTTTGCTGTCCAAATCCTCCCCCTTTTCAAGGGATTTCGTCCGTCCCAAGCCCCGCAGACTTCCTCTGGTTCCGCTCATTATCAGTTCTGGGGTGTCAGTTGACATTGGTCCCAGCTATATCTCCTGGCTGCACTACCTTAACTGCTTGCGTCATTGCTGAGCACAGGCTCCTGCTTGACATGAGAGACTCCATTTTGCTCTCTACAGACTTGCTGACCTCTGCCTCCATCTCTCTTCCTGCCAGCCCGAGGGAGTCTCTTTTTCATTCTAGAGAGAATCCACTTCTTTCTGTTTCTTCCTCCCACTCTGTGCACAAATACTTTAAGCCTGGGCCATGAATTTCAATGTTTCCTGGGCCATGAAGTTCAATGTTTCCTGGGCCACTCAGGAACAGAAAGGTGGTGGTGAGATTATGCTGAATTAGAACGCACCCATTTGTGGGGGAGTTGCAGAAGCCCGCCACACATCTGTGCTTCCATCCCATGGACCAGAGTCATTGCCAGGAAGTGGCTGCCCCACTAGGCTCCACATCTCCCAGCGCCCCCGCATCTAGGCAGATCACATGACTGGATCCCGTCAGTGGAATGGCGCAGAGGATGTCCCTTTGAGACCAAAGTGGTTGAGACGCGGTGTACTTCTCCACTTCTTTTTCCCATTCTACAGGCTGAAGTCAAAGACTCCAAGGCCCCCGGGGATGGTGGAGACACAGGAAGGAAGGATCTCGAGTCTCTGTATCACTGACTCTGGGCTTATTATTCACAGGTGTGAAAATACCTTCCCTCTGGATTATGCCACGGAAATCTGATTTTGTTTCAGCAGCTCGTGGTACCCTAATGAATACACCATTCTCAGTGCAACAGCTGCAGTTGAGATCCAACTGCTGTTGCCAATTGGGCAAACAAGGTTCTTTGAGCTGTCTTCCCATTTATAAGGAAAAACCAGAAACCCAGATTGTTATGTAACCCAGAAGTTATCCAATTTTTAAATGTCTCCAAATTTAAATTTCAGAAAACACTGTGCAGATCAATATTGTTGAGGGGCCAAGCCTAGTTTCCCTGCAGTCCTGATTCAGCTTGCTGGCTATAGGCTTTCTCCTTCTAAGGACTGATTTATCGTATTCTGCCATGTATTGCCCTCATTCAGCGAGGAACACACTTTTCCCTGCTTGAAGAAGGGAACAGAACAAGAAAAAACACTGGGGGAAATGTAAAGTAATCTCAAAATATTATTCTGTCACTATAGAGGCCACTTTTAAGCAAACAGGCTTGAGCAATGGAAAGGGCCCACAGTTATCCCCTGGCTGAAGACAGCCGGCCCAGCAGGTGACCCACCATAGGCCCTAACTAACCAATGGGCTACTTATAACCAGTTACCAAAAAGGGAATATCCAGACTCCTCACCTTCCCCCTTTAAAAGCAGTCCCCAGGGGCATCTGGGTGGCTCAGTCCCTTAAGCATTTGCTTTTGGCTCAGGTCATGATCTCAGGGTCTTGGGATCGAGCCCCATGTTGGGCTCCCTGCTCAGCAGGGAGTCTGCTTCTCCCTCTCCTCCTTGCTCCTGCTCTCTCTCGCTATCTCTGTCTCTCTCTCTCTCTCCAATAAATAAATAAAATCTTAAAAAAAAATAAAAGCCGCCCCCACCCACTGCCTCACTGCTGTGCTGCCCGCCGCTCCCTTGTGGTGTATTCAATAAACTTCTATCTCCTTTGTTCTTTTTTTTAAATTTTTTTTAATTTTTTTATTAGACACAGAGAGAGAGTACAAGCAGCGGGAGCAACAGAGGGAGAAGGAGAAGCAGGCTCCCCGCCGAGCAGGGAGCCCGATGTGGGGTTTGATCCTAGGACCCCAGGATCATGACCCGAGCCAAAGGCAGACGCTTAACCGTCTGAGCCACCCAGGCGCCCCTATCTCCTTTG